TTTGCTGTCTGTAAAGGAATAATTTATAAAAGACATGGAATACAACACCAGAGTAAGCAGATCAAGTCGATCGATTGGGTTGGAATTTTAAAGCTACCAGTTTTTTAGATATTTTTAGATACCATTTTATGCTAAACTAAATTGGATATTATTTCATGTCATGTGTACTGTGTGATTATTCACTTGGTTTTCAATGACATTTTAAACTAACCTTTTTTGCATTTTGTTCAAAAAGAAAAGTAAATAAAGGTGAGATCTTTTATATTTTGTGTTTCTTGGCAGCAGCATAGTCATAAATTTGTAAAAGGATTCGGGGCAATCTACATATAAGTGTATATTGGGGGGGGGGTATTTTTTTTGGAGTTTACTTTCAAACTATTATCTCATATATTTTCCTGCAGTTTTCCATCATAGAATAAGTTGTTGTTTTTTCAGGAAATTAGTCATGCTGTCACATTAGTGAGATTCTAAGTACAGGTGTTAATTGTAGTGTATCGTTGTATTTTTTTTTACTACACTGTGTATAGCATAGACCTAAAACAAATGTTAAACATTCAGATGAAAGAAATATTTATAATTTGTTTATTTTATTTGAACTCTTATATAGACTAAATGAATTTGACTGATTGTATTTAGAAATTAGCTAAATTATAATTTTAAATTTAAGTTTATATTACAAATGAAATCCATAACTTTTCCTGCCTTATAATGTTTGGCTAGAGCAAATACACAGCATCATATTTGTCCATGACTTCTCATTACTTGGCTTTTAATTAGTGGCCACACTTTTTTGCATACTACTACCTACCAAGTGACAGGCCTAAAATATTGTGCAACTTAATTGCCCACACTGGGGGCTATACCCCTTGACCCCCTGCTGGGAACTTTGTCCCTGGACCTTCATAATGATTTTGAAATGTTAAGAGAAAGGCCTAGCTACATCTTTGTATGTGTCAAAAGCACATGTATTTCACATAAGGAACTATTTTGTAAAAGTTAACTATTTTTAGTGAAGTGTCTAGTAACTCTTTGGTGCTTTTTACACTGCTCTCTTGTCTCATTCTTCCAGTTGTTGTTCCCTGATGACTCGTAGGTAAACTTGAGAGGATTATAATGCTAAAGTTTAGGGTTTGATCTCCATGAAGGATACAGTACAGCTAGTCCATTAAAATAGAAATACTTTCAGTTTTTGCAAAAGTGTGGTCAGTTTGAAGTCACGTTATCAAAAATTCATTTTTATGATGAAATGTTTTGAGTAATAATGAAATTAATTTTTTATATGAACAATGAATGTAAAATGTTTTTTTCAGCATAGTTAGAAACAGTATCTAAAACTTGAAAATACTTTTATAAAGAATGGGCATATACAGTACAATTCCACACTGCAGACAAAAATCTAAATTTTTAATTTTCAAATAATTGAACAGTTTGTATCGATGTGTATTTGTCGGTTGTAAATTAAAGCTATCGCAAAGTGTATAAATTAGTAATGTGTAACAGTTTGTAGTGTGAGAATATTAAAAGACTAACATATGTTGAAATTTCAGATTTTTTTTTATTAAGAACTTTTTCTTGGTAGTAGCTAATTTAAGTAGATAACGTAGTTTTTCACATTCTTTGTCCATAAAACTGTAATTGAACTAAATTTTTTTCTAAAATCAAAAGTGGTTAGCAGTACACATGTAACTCCTTACCCCGGGATAATGAAACCTAGTTTTGATGCACCCAAACAACTTAAAACTTGAATGTAAGTTATCATATTTACACTGTTTATATAAATTCTACTTTGAAAATAGTAGTGGCTCCAAACAGCTATATTGTTGTTGTTTTTCCGTACCAAATCTTTGTGTGATGATTTTGAAGAAAATGTATAAACAAACTATTCTACTCATTATCAAGTGGTAAGTGATCTTATGGAGTGATGTATCCATCTTAAAACGTTTAGAGATAATGTTTAGTTTGAATCATTTTCTTACAAAATGTGGCATTTTAACAGAATAGTAGTTTTCAGAAAATATATTGAGGTTATTATAATTTAAGACTTTAAATTAAAAAAAATTAAACTTATATTTATTTTCCTCTATTTATTTATTTATGTAAGAACAAAGATCACAAACTTTGTCCTTCTAATTTGTCCCTTAATTAATAATACATTGTGGATGGCCAAAGATATTTGTATCTTCCTATGTTCTGTCCTAAATTGTATATGAAGTCTATTACATAATGATGTCTAGGTCTCAAAAGAAACTGGATGATCATTTTTAATTTCAAACACACACTAATTATTTGGCATTCTTTTGCAAATAGTTATAAACTTGATAGAAATAAATGTAGTTTTTCATAGACTTCATGTCAGTAATAATGATACTATTGCTGTTTCATCAAACTGAAACCCCCTCTCTTCCTTTGTCTCAGTGGTAAACTTGAAGGTTTATAATGAC